ATAATGAATTTTGATCAATCTGAGAAACGAATGGAGAAGTTTCTTTGGGACTTAAATAAGTTTTTGACTAGCTGACCCAAAAAGCTGAAGGTTTGTTTAGACATTTCATAGACTATGGGAAACACAATAATATAACTTGACTAACATTAACATTATTGCTAAACCAAACTACTTATTTATTTCTCTTAATGCAGATAGCAAATACAAAATATCAAAAACAAGAAACAGAAATACTATCATAGTAAAATAACCATTTATATATTTGTTTGTCCCATGATTTGTGAAATATCTAAACGCACTCAGGAGATCAGTCCTGAAAATATAATCTGCAATCTTTGTATTTAGGAGTATTTACGTAAAATACTTTGCACTTTTCAACATCCTGGGTCATTTTGATCCAACATTATATTTATTGATTCAACAACAAAATAACAAATCAAATTTTACAATTGATTATCGATTATATAAAAGGTTAAATTAAAAACGTTTAAATCGCACTTTGTGTGTCGGTTATAAAATTGATATTAAAACATCTAGAACGTGATATCGCTAATACTGGTTATAAACAAATGATTCTATTCTATTGTTGAATTATTAGTTTAGTTCCTTCTTATCTACCTATCAGGGATTAATTTCATAGCTGGCTTGTGGCATTAATTCCCTAATTAATCCCATTCCATCAATTCTTCAATACTTATATAACCTGCAGATGAGCTTTCTTTCATATCCTTGATGTGGTAAATATGTTTGAATATTAACTGTAACAAAGGTAAAAAATTTCTTATTTAATATGATTCCATGTAGTTTATACAACTATTTTATGCAAATGATCATACATAATCACAGCCTATACTGCTGTGGGTTTTGTTAAAATGATATTCATACCGGTGCATTTATTGCTACAATATGTTTTCATATAGTCATTAGAGAAATTTTGAGGATGTTAAAAGAAAAAGAAAGAAATGTCTTGATTAATTTTATAATATATTCAAGTCTATCAAGATTTATAAAGTAGTAGCTTATGCATAATTTGAAAAGCATTTCTTTTATATATTCAAATGAATAAAATCAGTCATTTTTATGGAGGAAAATACATACATAAGTATATTTGATGACTATTTATTATTAATAGGATTTAGCAACATTCATATGTAAATAGGCATTCTGAGAGGAATTTATAGAGTTACATTAAATTATTGCTATTGAGGTGAAGTTTAGGTGAAAATGTGATATTTATGAAATTAAAAGCTGTAAACCTTTTACAATTTTTTTTTTCAATTTTTCTTATTTCCACATATTTAATTATTTATTTTGAATACAGTACTTATAATGTATTTTTATTTTTATTTTGTTGTATATCATTCTTATTTTTCCATATTTTTATTTATTTATGTCATTTTTATCATGAGCATGAAAATAATTTTTCATTTTTCATGTCATCAAGATTCAGTATGGCCAGTTCCTATGCTATGTGGTAAGTTGAATGTCTTGCAGAAGATTGTAGCATGATTAATGCTTATTATTATATGAGGCATGATGTAAATTCTAGCTGTGTGATTTAATAATTTTGGTAGAAGCGAAAATCAAAAATATCTATCTCTTTTTTTTATTATTATTTTTTAGTATACAATTCATAGCATTGTTTCACAACTAAGCAATTTGGTAAACTTTAAATTAAAATCTGGAATAAAATAAACAACGATAAAACGGTTTGAGGTCAATTTAACAGCCTTGTTGAAGAAGCTTTGTCTGGTTGGCAACACTTTTCATTTCTATTTTTTTGATCATATAATTGAAATGTGCAAAAGCTCTTGCTTTCTATACTACATTGACAGGGCTATATTATATTTTTTTTTTACCTTCATGTTTTTTATAAGAATTGGTATTATTTGGGACAGTATTGAAAACTGTAAAAATAAAAGGCTGTATATTAAGTACAAACAAAGATTTGTATTGTGAATCATTATTTAGAAATAATAATCGACTGAATAAAAAAAAAAATATCATTACAGGGTCTATCAGGGTTAAGTGGCCAAACTGAAAATATGAATTAGGGACCTCAAACAAGAATAAAATTTCCTTTAAAGGTATGTCTGCTTATCTGCTTAAAGGAGATATTCACATCTAAATATTTTTGTTGTTATGAATTATTTATGTTATATGAAGTAAATAAAACCTATTTATTTGTTCTAACTACTTTGAGGTCCTTAGTTCGTTTTTGTAATTTGGCCACTTAACCCTGAAACAACTTGTATATACAACACCTCAACATATTTATTTTCTAATTACTTTAGGAAGACAATTTCTGTATCCTTTATTTTACTTCTTACTATTTTTCTAAAAGCCCTATTTTCAAAGTTAATTTGTTTACCATGCCAAATGCCAACCAGCCTTGAAAATGTTGGTCAATAAGTCCCGACCTGGTTTATTAACAAAAATAGCTACCAATGTTCAGGAAATATATTGACAAAGAATGGAAATGGGGGTGCTTGTCATGCCAATTATGTTGAACAATTAGAAAAAAAAACACAATACAAGCTGAAAAACAAACATTTCTATACCATTCTTCCATACCAGCTCAGACAATATGGAGATTTTTAATGTCTATCTGTAGAGAGTCAGAAGGTGAGAAACCAGAGTCCATAATTATTATTTTAAAAAGTAGTTGAATAACCTATCTTTTATACAAACCAGCCCTAGTTTTATAACATAACAACAAACTGCGTAATTATAACATTATTCTATTTGAGTTTTATAAATTTTGTGAAATTTGTGGCATCAAAGTTTTTATTTTTTGAATCAAAAATAATTAATAAAACTGTTGTTAAAAATATTTGAGGCTAAATAATATTTCATTTTTAATTTTTTTTAATATCCTTCTATATGTAAACTTTGATACCTTTTGATTATGTATGATCTTAATCCAGCCAATATAGACATTCTCAGTTTTTATTAAAGGTCCGAGTATTGTATTTTTCGAGAGGGCTAAGGAACCAAAACTGCTAAAAAAACTAAAGCTTGAGCACACAATGGAGTACTGCTTTATTGTGAACAATGGCTGTGACCTCAAATATGAATTGTTAATGAAAATTATAGCTGTAGAATTTCATATAACAAGTTATTGATTTTGAATTAGGCCATGTATTCAGTACTATGAGTAATATGTAGGTTTAGGGTTTTGTGTGGCTTTTATATATATACATATGTGTATTATAAAAAAAAAAGTAGTTTTGGTTTGAGTTTATTGCTTTAAATTTGGAGAAAAATAAATATTAAATTGGTGATGGTTTTATAACATTCCTTATGTGTAGAATTAAATTAAGTAGCTAGCCATAAATACAATAATGATTAAATTGATTAGTAAATAAATAATAGCACTAGGATAAAAACTTTAATTACTGCAATTCAGTGGCAAGTTGGCAGCAGGTATAGTTATAATAGTAAAAAATAAGTCATGAAATACCCATCACATGTTGAAAAATCTTTAGTATTTGTGATTTTACAATTCTAGTTAAGTCACTATAAAAGCCAGTAGTTGTTAAAAAGGTATATATATATAAAAAGGGCCATTTTTATATGGGAAATAAAGAAAAAATTATTTATTCTTAAGAAGTTTATTGATATTATAAAAGTAAATAACTTATCAATGAATCTAGAATGAAATTAACTTTAGTATCCTGAATTAGCTGTTGTAAAATACTGACACCTTAGTGGAGGAGGATTATGCAAACCAATGGGTAGCATAATGGGATTAGGTTAATATGGACTAGATAAACTGTCAAATAATTTATCAGTTCATCCTTACTCCACTAGCCACTATCAAAAATAACATTAGCAAACTATAACCCATGGTAAATAAAGGTAATTTTTTTTTTGTAAGTTTACCTTTCTTCATGTTTTAGAAGTAAATGTATAATTCCTTCAATTTCTTGTGAAAATTGAAAAGTCATTACGTTATTTTCTTTTTGACTATACAAGATTTTCTCAAGAGAACAGAAAATTTATTAGTGTTATCAAAAAATTCAAGTTATGGAGCGTTAAGCTATCAAGAATCGACTGTATAAAATAATTGTGTTTTTCTTTTATAGAGTTATGGGGGTTGTGTGTTAATGTGCCCAATGGAATAACTGCCACTGCTACTAATATAATATAGGATGTGAAATGCTAATTCCTGGACAATATCTTTTGTTCGTTTATTTAATTTTTTTTGTGAAATTTGTAATTAAATTTCGATAATGGTCCAGCTTTTCAGAATGACTGGTTCTCTATCTGGGAAATATGGATCAGGATTTTATACTATGATTTTTGAATTACTCATACACAACTTTTGTTCCTATTATATTTAAAAAATTAATGTTAGTTTTTTAAAATAAATTAGTAGCATTTCATACATTTCTGAAGAAAATATTTTTCTTGTATAAATCTATTGAGCGTTAATGGATTTTTCAAATTAAATACTTAGTAAACATAATTATTGTCCAGGAGTTAATTTTTAACTATCCTCACTCCACATTTATGTCACTTTTTTAGTAAACATATTATAGAATATGTAGAATTAATTCAAAGATTTGCTTATGCAATTTGATTAATCATGTAATAATGCTAGAGTTATTTAAATCAATAAGGTTTAGTTATGAAAATTTAAATTAATTTTAAATTTGATTATGTTAATAATGTCCAATTTTAGTTTTATATCTCTGAGAGTCATATTAGACACTAATAACCACTAAGACACACCAATGAGCAGTAAATTAACACACCACAAGTATCATTAGTATTTATAATTGTAGAAATCTTATTAAAATGAAGAAGAAAAAAATCAGTATAGTGGGTTAAAAATATTAATGTAATTGATCTAATAAATTATGAATTTAAGTTTTAAGTAATTACCATGAAGTTACATATTATTAAAACAACACTATTTTGTTAATAAAATAAAAAGTAAATAATTCTATAGGATATAATTCATAGTATTAATATGACTAATATGCATGTTTTAGGGGACAGTCAGAATGGTATGCACAAGAGAACAGTTTACGAACATAATAGAGTGGCCATGTGCTCGCAGAAGAGAGCATTGTGTGTGGCCACTGTGGTTCTTGCCATTCTTTTCATTGTATCCCTCATCATTGCGTATGCGGGACCCCAGACTGGTAAAAATACTTTTTTTATATATTTTTCTTTTGTATTGTTGCTAATTTATATCCAGCTAATGGAAGACATTTGTAAATATTTTTGAAAAGTCAACTGTCCATAGGTATTTTACTCTCATCATTCATATGGTATTTTATTACTACAGGGTATTTGAGAATAGTATATTTATTATTTAGTGTTGAAGTTTATCCTTCCATGTTTTATAATTTTTGAAAATATATGTTTGCCCTTATGAAAATCTATTATAGAAAGTAAGAAAGAAAGTAAATTTTATTCTGGAACGTTTAGTCCCCTCAGAATAACTACAATGAACAAAGAAATGAAAATTGTCTGGCGATTGTGAATAATTAAATGTCAATTAAAAATAAAACAATTTACAAAGTTGTCTAACCTTAATATTAAAATAAAGAAACATGTAACTTTTTCATAATATTAAAAATAAAGACACTGTAGTAAACATCTGATCTTTAGGTAGACATATGAATTTAAAGATGATTACATGCGGGTGAGTTCACGTCTTTGTACAAATAAGCAATATGACACATACAAAGATATCTGCACAAGATATCCGTATAGTGTAACTGATATTCCTAAAGTACGAAATAACTTTATTTTACATATATTCAGAAGATTGATTACTGAGAAGATTGAAAAATAAATTATGATTAAATGAGTTCGAGGTTGAGGATTTCCTTAAAGAGGTTGGTAGGGAATTCCAAAACGAGGTAGCAGGTATGATGAAGGATTTTTTAAAGGAAACAGTTCTATGAAAAGGAATAAACAAATATGAGAATTGGGATATCTTGTTGAACGAATGAACAGAGGAACGAGGAGTAAAGAAATCAAGAAAGTAAGAAGGTTTTTTGGTTGTAAAGGTTTGGAAAAGGAATACACCTAGGAAATATTGCTGTCGGAAAACTGGATAGAGCCACTTCAATACCGCATAGCAACTGGAGACATGGGAGCGCCTCCAAATATAAATCTAATGAAACAAATTATAGTGTGATGGAATAGAAAAACATAGCAAAAACGTAAGCTCCTTCTATAGATGTGCCTTAAGATTTCATGAATAGGTAGCTTTCATATCCACTCTCCCGTTAAGGAAGTGACTGCCCATCGTGAATGCATGAGAAGATAAAAACTTGAATGTTGAAAAAATGACTGGAATAATCATTATGATGTTTCCATCCATAGTACTATAAAGATGTTTTTAATCAACTAAAATGTCTTCAGTGGGAATCTATGTTATTTACCAGATCACAAATCACTCTATTGATTTCTTTTTTATTTCTATCACAAAAAAAATTAAATTATATAAAAGATAATAAATAAATAAAACTGAGACCATGAGAACTATTGTTTTATCCTATGGAAAATTTGCATGGTCTGGATGCAAGATAAATAATTATGTAGATTGTAATCAATTTCAATTTAATGTTATTTTCTTGTTTTTTATTATTATTTACTTAACATTTTCAGATTGCCCATGTGCAGGAGAGAAACCAACCTACCTAGATGAACATGGACGAATAAATAGGACTAGAAATATTATACCTGTAGCAACAAATAATGAATTATTCCCTTGGAATAATGTGAGGCTTCCAGCATTTGCTAGACCTTTGAGATATCATATTAATATCCATCCAAACTTGACAACATTAGATGTAAAGGGTAAGCTTACAAACAGTTCAATATTTCAGAATATAAAATTAAAATACAGTAGATGTTTTAACTAAAAAATTGTTATCAAATAGAATAAATTTAATTAACTTTTTTTACTTCTAAAAATGATAAGCATTCCTAATCTCTTTGAAAAAAAATATTTATATTTTAATATAATTGGTAGCTAAGTCAAATTTAATAACATTAAAAAAAAGAAAATTATTGAAATGTATTTATGATCAATTTCTATTACCTGGTCTGTTATATCATATTCATATTTTAAAATGTCAGATCTTTTGAATATTCAGTAACATGTCGATTCAATAATTATAACTTCATTAAACATAACAATATTTAATTTTCTTTTGTAGGTCAGGTTACCATTGACTTCCAAGTTGACAAGGACACTTACTTTATTGTCCTTAACAGCCAAAACCTCACTATCACTGATAAGGTAAATAGATAAAATTCATTTGGTAATTGCTCATCATCATTCAAATAAATGATTTATAGGAGAAAAACTTAACAATTATCTTATATTTCAGATGATAATAGCTGATAAAAAGAACCACCGATTAAGCATTGCTAGGTTACTTGAGTATCCTCCAAGACAACAATTGTACCTTGAAATGAAAGATAAGCTAAGAAAACGTGTAAATTATACATTAGTTATGAGATTTACAACGCGGTTGAGTAGAGAAATGGAGGGCTTTTATATAAGCAGTTATAAAACAAAGGATGGTGAAACGAGGTTTGTTTTATGTATATATTTATGCATTATACATTTTTGAGGTACTTATTGAGAAAGCGGCTAACCATATTAATTTAACTTGTCATATCAATAAATCCGTTGATGGAATTTCAAAAATATCCAACTACATACAAAAGTTTATTATGGGCAATTAAGGGATGGCCTTAAAAAATTAAATCTAACTATAATTGTGACCTCTAGAAGCACATCTAAGAGCACACCACCACTTCATTGTGTCAGCTTCAAATAAATAATCATATCATGGCTATTATCATTAACTTTCCTGGGTTAAATAGCTTAAAAAAATTGGAAATATTATATTGCCTTTTCTTCTGTATAAATCAATTTAATGTACAATATATATTTTTTTAATAAATAAAAATGAGAAAAAACAAACCCGACAGTTTAACAAAAATCACAACCCAATAATAAAATAAACAGCAGGATTATATTATATCTACTGTATTGCTAACTGAGTTAGCATATATTATAACTGAATATAGGGTTGACTGCTTTCTTGGTGGTTATTAAAATTCATTCCTAGTTTAATTAGATCATGCCTGTCAAATTTCTGTTCACTACCCTCAGTCAAGAGAGATAGGAGATTCTCAGAAAACCTTTTTAAGTTGAGATCAGGCCTTACCAACCAGGGGTCCTTGTCAGTGGAGATGAATTATTTTATCATATTTCTGAAATGATCAATGGCATATTTTTAATACCTAATTTCATAATTATTGTTATGTGTAGTTATTGTACTTGGTAAACTTATAAAATATTGTGGATCATGATTACAATCAATATAAACTGTAAAGATTTTGTTCAAATAACACTACGAGTGTTGTGATTAATTCAATTTAGTATGGAGGCATGGGAATAGGTTGTCATACCAGTTTTTTTTGTATCCTGTATAACAGGCGTTATGTTAGTATTTCCAAAGAAGTTTAAATGTCTTAAATTAAATATGAGATGAAACTGGTTGCTATTTCTTTGTCTTAAAATTATTTAGTTTCTCAACTATCTCTAGAAATCTGAAAACACAAGTTTATTGAATTATCACACTTCCTATTGTGTTATCAATGTTAAAATCTAACACTTTAGTTTAGGAAAGAACAATTTACTAAATTTTAGGTTGTTAATTAAGTATTGAGCTAAATAGTTAAGTATAGATAAAAAGAACCAATAGTCCACTTATACTAGATCTCCCCTCTTCTTACCAATACCAAATAGTTAATTGAAGATGGATGAGTTAACCAGAGACTTTACATAGCAACATGTTAAAATAAAATATGTTTGAGGAAATCACATTGCTTAATATTTTGAATTTGAAAATGTGACTTCTGTCTGAGATTTAGGTGGCTAACAAACCCTCAAGCAATAATTTTCAAGTGAGACAGATGATTTGAGATTTTCGTTTTCCATATTACATTTATGGGTTTAATTTTTCTTCTAAGAAATATTAAAGGATCCCTGGTTGACAAATTATCTATCTATCTCTCTTTTTTTTTTAGCCATTATTCAATTAGATCCCTATATTAGATTTTTGAAAATAACAATTCTTAAAGAGATTTGAACAGCTTAAGGTTTTGTTTGAGATCTGAAGCATATTTTTATATGGAAACTTACTGAATAGTGAATAATACATTTTACTAATTGTAGATATTTTACTAATTTTATCTCTATATATTTTTTTTTAGATATTTAGCTACAACTCATTTTGAACCAACTTACGCACGTTCTGCCTTTCCGTGTTTTGATGAGCCTCAATTTAAGGCCAGATTTAAAATGTCAATTTTTCGTGATAGATTTCACATTTCCCTTTTCAACATGCCAATTATCAATACAGAAGATGCTGGATTCTATATGGGAACAGGACTGGTAAGTAAGTGAATGTTGTTTCCTTTTTTTCTTCTTTTTTCAAAAAAAGGACAGGATGTAATCATGAAATTGCTCAAGTACAACATAAAACTAAGCATTATTTTGTTATTGAGGTGAATACTAATTTCTAAATATTAATCTTTTTAAAAATATTAACTACTTATTAAAATATTTTTAAAATAAAATATACTCCAGAATACCAACTCCTATGTTATGGGTTAGAAGCCTATATCTTAAAAGATTAATAAAATGTATATTTCCTAAGGCATGGTTTGCATTTAAATTATTGTATTGTTCATTTTGAAATATTTATCTGTTTTATTAAACTACAAAACAGAAATGTCATTATTTTATGTGAAATAGTAAATTACGATTTTATTTTTTTCATTACTTTTTATACTGTCAAAGATTTATGATAAATGGAAATTTGTCATAAATTCATTTTTTTTTTTGTCTTATTTTATTTACACATTTTATGGTCTCTTGATCTCAAAAGTAATATTATAAAAAATAAACCATAATGACATTGTTGTCTTCTATTTATAAGCACACATTATTGTAAACTACTGAATAATTTGGGTGAAACGTTCAAGGAATTAGTTCCGTCATGAGAAACTCTAACATACTTATATCTTCTAGGGTAGGTAGGATGTTAATACTTCTTGCTGAAAACATTAATTTATGAAGTAGCAATTTAGCTGTCACACTTTGTTCAATTTAAATCAAACTTACAGTAAGTTTATGGACATTAGAAAAACTTAATGCAAAACATTTTATGATAGGTGTAAATAACCTCTTTTGTCACCTTTTCTATAAAGAGGAAAGTTTTAAAAGATTTCTCCTTAAAATGGTCTAAAAACATGAATTTTGTTTTCTAAAACTGAGTAAGATAAAAATCCATGGGGCTATTTTTAATAAAACAGGATACTAAAGTCATAAAAATCAAAGATTTAAGATGTTCACTTAATACTTTAAAATGATATTGAATTTTTGCATTAATGATTTTGGGTATCCAAAGTCATTGTTTTTAAAATAAAGTTGATAAAATAAAAATTAAAATGTTGGTAATATAAAGGTAATTTAAGAGGCATATATTTAATATGAAACAACATTTAAAATTGTAATTTATATTTTTATGTTTCAGCTACGAGATGAATTTCAGGAATCCGTTGAAATGAGTACCTATCTCGTGGCTTTTGTTGTTTGTGATTACCAGCATATACGTGCTGAGACTGCGAGAGGTGTATCTGTGGCAGTTTATTCACCTCCTGATCTTCTTAAGCAAGCTCGGTTCGCATTAGATACAGCAACTGCAATGATGGATCATTATGAAAGATATTTTAACGTCAATTATCCTCTTCCAAAGCAAGGTGACTATCGTTAGGTGTAGCTTTCAAACTTTAAACAATAGCTTATCCATGAGAATATGACAGTTTAATGTTAATGGCAGTTCTATGATGTAAAACTCATGTGCCGAGCCCAACAATTGTAATCTCATTAAAGCAGTAATGACTCAGTTACCACTAACTCTTATTTTGACTAATAACTAGTAGTAATTAGTTTGCTCTTTGTTTTGTTAAAAAAAAATTTTTTTTTCAAGAATTGCTACTTAAGCTGTGTTTGAGTAACAAGATGTGCCTTTTATGGCTAAATTTGTTAATGTCCTTATATAAATTCCTATAAATACAGTTAACTAGATTGACGATTGATATAACCTTTTGAATTATAATGTTTGGATTTTTTTTTTTAGTAACCATGAATACACTCTCTTATACACTCAGAAACACTCAAACATTTTTGACATTCCATCTAAAATGGAATCATGTGAGATTTTGCCCGGCCTACATAATGTTGGCTATTTTCAATGCTACTATCAAATAGTTTATCTATTATGGTTAGAATAAATAATTGAATAGAATAAATTTTGTAATTGAATTCATTTGTACATTTTTGTTTTCATTAAAGTTTTTCCTAACAAAATGTCACTTTTATGGTGAAATGAAAACAAACATATCAATTATAGCTCAACACTTTGCCAGGTTAATAGAATTTATGGGAAGGGAACAATTTCTTCTACTATCATTGACTGTTCTAATTTCCCATCTGCCATATTCATGGTAGTGAGCTTTGGTGTTATATTATTTCAAATATTTTTTAAAATTAAATATTTATTACAACATAATTTGAAAAAATCTAAAATATTTTTTTTTAGATTTGATTGCAATCCCAGATTTTGGTGTTGGTGCTATGGAAAACTGGGGATTGATTACTTATAGAGAAACATCAATTCTGTATGAACCTGAAGAAACATCTGCTGCTTCTCATCAGTGGGTGGCTGTTGTGGTTGCTCACGAACTAGCTCACCAGGTACTATTTGATTTCAAAATGTCTTGTTATTTCACTTTTATTATTGTAATTAACATCTACCAGCATTTATATTCATATAATGACAGAGTCTTGGCATCTAATTAATTGTTGATTTTTGGTAAAATAAAAACAAAAATTTATTTTATAATGAAATATATTTAATCCTTAATATATTGTCTATTTTTATAAATATCTTTTATATTTATAATATATTATATTTCAGGCATTATCATTATGCCATATTCATAAAAAATTTAATCTTTAGCTCCAAAAAAGTGATCAAAGTGTGTTTTAACATCATCGTCATTGATAAATTTTTGCCATTCAAAAAGTACTGCAAAGAACGAAATAAATGGTAATCAAAAGGAGTGAGGTCAGAACTGTATGTGGCAACACATCCCAACCAAGCTCCATTAATTTTTGCCAAGCAGACAAAGAAGAGCGTGGCCTTGCATTGTCGTGGTGGAACACTACACCCCATAGGTTTACCAACTCAGAACATTCTTGTTGAATTGCATGATTCAGGGCGGTTAATTGTCGAATGTACACATCTGAATTGATCATCTGATTGCAAAGTAAAATTTCAAAGTGGACAATGCCCTTGTAACCCCACCAAACTGATAGCAAAACCTTTCATTGGTGAATATCAATTTTGGATGTTGTTTGTGCTGGTTCTTTGTCTTTATTCCATGATTGATTTTGATTGAAATGATTGTAAACCACCCATTTTTCATTGGCTTTCATCAACTGTTTTAAAAATGGGTTACCCCCATTTCGTGTGAACGACAAATCACTGAGACTATCTCGTTGAGTCAAATGAAATTCTTTGATCAGATGAGAAACCCATTGATCAAGCTCTTTCTTATACCCAAGTTTTTTCTAATGCTTTTTAATGCACTTGTGTGATATATTGAGCTTCTCTGTGATCTCAAAAGCAGAGCTACGATTTTGTTCGCAACCTCTTTAATGTAATTTGGTCTTCTTCAACTTCATTTGGTCAGCCATAGCGTTGTTTGTCTTTCATTAAAAAATTTCTGGCACGAAATTTTGCAAACCAACTTCGATACTGCCTTTCTTTTAAGGACTCGGCACTGTACACAGCACATAACATTTTATATGCTTGTAAAACATTTTTTTCCTTTACGAAAATAAAGAAGGAGAATATGCCAAAAATGTGCACCTTGAACTTCCATTTCAAACAGGATTTGAATACTAAACTAAACATTTGATCATCAAAATATTTACCTGGATTTATAAAGGCTGTATTAAAGGTCAAACAATTAGGGGATCAAATTTATTTAAGTACATAAAGATAACATTGTTAATAAAGTCACCTACTTTTAATATCTGAAATAATTTAATTGCCAATCCTACAGTTGTAAAATTGTAACACTTGAGAACTAATCAGCTTTTTAATAATAATTAGTTTTTTTTTTTAATTTGAGAGCATTAATTGTTCATATTTCGTAACTTTTACACGAGCCCTTTGCTGATTAGTGAAAGTTGACTTGTAAAAATACAAAGATAAATAGAAAACAATTTACTTTTTATTTTTTTTTATTATGATATTTACAACTGTATTAGTATGAATACATCAAGTAAATGTATACAGAGGAATATAATCACATGAAACACGCTTGTAGAGAAACTACCCATTGGCAGCACTCTAATAATTTGTCTACATGAGGAGATCAGGAGGCCATCTTCTTTTCAGACGCCTCGGAGGGTTATCACGAATTGAAGAGGAAGCAAGGTTAGAAACAAGAGGATTCGGATGGTCATGAAGTTTATTAAGCATATGGAACATTGAAGTCTTTATGGATTATTTTATTTGGGACAAAGTAAGGAGCATTGAGGATTTTACGAAGGATTTTGGATTGTAAAGATTGGATATGAGAGGAATTTGATGGTTTAGTGGAGTCCCATAGCTCAACTCCATAAGTCCAAATAGGTCTTATTATAGTCATGTATATGAGTCGTTTGTAATTAATTGGAAGTTTAGAGCGTTTGTCCAGTAAGTGTTGGAGTAAGCGAAAACGTCAAGCAGTTTCTTGTCGTTTCAGTCTTGTATGAGGATCCCAAGTGAGACGTTTGTCCAGCTGGAGTCCTAGTTATCGGATGTGTTCTACAGGGATAAGTCGGGTGTTATTATAGGATACTATAGGGCAGCAAGTCATTGGTTTATGACGAAGGGTAAAGGTGATTTGATGGGATTTATTGGAATTTATTTTAATCCTCCAGTTTTTACACCATTCTTCAAGGTTTGTGATGTCTGATTGAAGAGTTTGGGATGCAATTGATGGATCATTATTAACTGACAGGATACATGTATCATCAGCATACGTAGTGATGACAGTGGTAGGTAGGGTTGGGATATCAGCTGTATAAACTGTGTAAAGGATAGGACGAAGGATACTATCTTGAGGAACTCCGGCAGATTGAGAAAAGAGGGATGAATAGGTATTATTGTGATTTACTTTGAAGTGTCTATCAGTAAGATAGAAACTGATGATAAGAAAATATGTAGGGGGAAGGAATTTATGCAGTTTGTAAAGCAATCCCGGATACCAGACTCGTTGTTTTTTTTGTTGTTATTTTAGGTAAACTGTAATATTACCCCTAAAAATGTTTGTCTTATTCATTTTATAGTTCTAGAAATTTGCAGTGCTTTCGAAAACATTCATTGATGTTTTTCATGCATTCACTTCGGTGTTGTTTGTTAAAATTTTATTTAAACATAGATTTTTGTTACTTCTGAGATTTTTGAAGAGAAAAGAAGATCCTTTCCATATCAAAATCTTGATCTGACTGAATGGAGAGAAAAGCAGATGAATATGGTATTAGGCATCAAAAACCTTCTAGAACTATAAATTAAATAAAACTAGATACTGTTTTGAAGAGTAACATTCTATAGTACAATTTATTATAAAAACAATATTAATTAATTTTTTTAAGATTTCAATGAAAATTAAAAGATTAAAATCAATGCAATGCTTTTTGTAAAATTTTGAATGAAAAATAAAATTCATCAAAAATAAATTTCATCAGCTTGTGTAATATAGATTCTTATTATTAATTATATTTGTGTGACTATAATATAACATAAATATGTTTTTTTCATTTTACTTCATATTTATATGTTTTATAATTGTAATTCAGTGAGTTATATAAGTGTATCAGCTAATGTTTTTGGCGGCAATCGCTACCCTCTTCATTGTTACAGTGGTTTGGGAATCTTGTGACGATGCGTTGGTGGAATGATCTTTGGTTGAATGAGGGGTTTGCTTCGTTTCTGGAATATCTGGCTGTTGATAAAGTGATGCCAGGCTGGAATATGATGGAACAATTTGTTTTAGACAAGACACAACCTGGTCTCAATCTGGATGCTCTCACAAACAGTCATTCAATATCAGTAACTGTTCAGGATCCAACGGAAATTGAAGCTATATTTGATACTATCTCTTATAGTAAGGTAATGATAAATATATCTTTAAGGAGATGTAATTTTCATTTGTATGCAATGCGTATTATGATGGCCTCACATATAACCTCATAACTGTCCTTTTTTTTGCTGTAATTTATTTATTTTTTCATAATTTGAATCAAAACCTTATATAATAGCTCATTGGTAGAATTGGTATTAAATATATTTAGAGGATTAATACCAATTTTTTGGCTTTAGCAATCTGATAGGTTGTTTTCAAATTGAAAAAAGTCACTTATGAATTTATCCTATCATTTAATGGCATATTGTCTTTAAAAGTCAATTATTTGTGAATGAGTATGTGTGATAACTTCACAGCAAACTTCAAATTTTAGAATTTTGAAAAACCTAATGTACCTCCAATTTCATTTAAATTTGCCAAAATCTTTTAAATAAATGACAATGCACTTGCATAAATAAAGTGTAACTGCATACTAAATTGGATTCCTTTTATTAATGGAACTGTTTGAAGTAATAAATATTGTGCTTATATTTCAAAAAAGTTTGACCACATTTTCTAAATAAGCTTCTTCAAAAAAGTAATAAACTACTATTATATCATCGTGATCTTCAATTGGATCAAAAGTGATGACCAGGATACAGAAACTAATATATATCTTCACATTTTAAATTGTCTTTCTTCAAAATATAAAAAATAATCCTTATATCGTTGTTATCCAAAATTACATAATGCACACGCTCCTATGAACATTTGTATTCTAGGCCTAAATTAGCACCTAAAAATTTCCTATAAAATCCCATAATCAATTAAATCCTAATTGAAAATAAATTAATCCTAGAAATCAGTTTGTGAGAGTATATACAAAACCAATTATAAATTCTTACTCATCAACTTCCAAAAAAATTGAAATAATCAATTAATCCATATCAGCTATAAATATAATATAATTTACATGATAAGCATGTACAAATGAAAATCTGGCCCTTAATCATACTAACATCTTTAAAATGTAATTAATGACATGCATAAGTCTTTTTATTTATGCAAATGTTATTTTATTCTTATGAATCTTATCGTTATTCATTCACTATTTTGTAATAAACTGCCATTGTTACTATGTTACATGTTGTAAACATAAAATGTATGATCCTTTTTATCTCACCAATTTTTAAAATTTAATTTCTGGATTGCCTGTGTAAAATTAACCTGTTAACTGGGTTTGACAAATTATTTCTTCATACATGGACTACTACTGCACTGGGCATGATGACATTTTTCATCTAGGAAATTTACCATAATGTTTTGAATGCATTAAGTTTTAAATCCTAGCATGGTTGTATGCGAGCATATTGTTTATGTTTTCGCAATCAATCTTGTGTTTGCCCCGGTTAACAGGTTAAAAAGATAAATTATAAGATATATTATAAATAAACATTATATGTATTTATGGTGATTGGGATAAAAATAAAAAAAAAAATGTACGACTTATTGTTTTTAATAAATATTAAGATCCATGGAAATTGAAAATTGTAACTTTTTTCTGTAAAAATAAAATAATAAATTTATTTTCTTTTAAGGGTGCTTCACTGCTCTATATGATGGAAAAGTTCTTGGGACAAGATACCTTAAAACGTGGACTCAATGATTATCTGAATACTCACAAATTTAGTAACGCTGATACGAAAGATTTATGGGCTGTAATGAGCAAACATGCCAACCATTCCATTCATGTTAAAGTATGAAAATTATACTTTTTATATATTTTTCTTTCTTTTTTTTTTTTTTTACCATATTAACATATTTCCTTATCACAGAATATAATGGATACATGGACAAGGCAAATGGGTTTTCCCCTAATAGACATTAAACGTGATGGTGGGTCTATATCTGCTTCCCAGACTAGGTTTCTACTTAGCCCTGAAGCACGCTCACCAAACTCTACAGTGCACAGTTTGCCGAAGTCACCATATGATTATAAGTGGTATGTTCCTTTGACGTACTACACTGACATATCAGATGAAGAAATGGTCTGGATGAACTTGACAGATGGTGAGACATGTTTCAAGTCTTTAATAATATTACATGCAAACAGTGTTATATTCATTAGTACTCCTTGACTTAGTAAACCCAATATGGCTAAGATAAATTGTTCTGACTATATTTATTGAAGTATGAATGAAGTAGAAGTTATTGTAGTCCTTGTTTTGAAATCAATCCACTTGTTTTTAAATTTGCTCCCTTCATGATAAGACTTACCTAATAATACTATACTTCTCTTTAAAGTATAATCTAATGAGTATAGTCTCAGAATAGGCAGATTTTTGCTGTTTCTGAAATTTGTATGAGCTCTATAAATTTTTTTTTCTGTTACTGTTTTGTATTATGTTTATTAATGGATTAAATGACAATGTATTACTTTTCTTTTATTATTATTTATTTTACATGATATATTCCAAATTTAGACATTGTAAGAATCCTAAAACAGATATCACAGGATTAATTAAAAATTTAATTTTAAAGTATTCTGATTGGCATTAATTACCCCCAAAAAATATGGGCATTGAATTAATTAGAATTTCTAATCTGATAAATTTCTTTTAACATCAATGGAACTAAGTCCAATAGCCACAATATCAGTAAAATATTGAATTAATAGCCTAAAATTGCATGGAAAACAATCTGTGAGTATCGCTTATTATTTTAAATTGATTTCAGTCAAATTCGAAATTGACCCAACAGCTTCTTGGTTCAAAGCCAATGTTAATCAGTCAGGGTTCTACAGAGTGAATTATGATGCAGATATGTGGAAAGCTCTTATTGACACACTCAAGAAAAACCACACTGCCATGACACCAACTGATAGAGCAAGTTTAATAGATGATGCTTTTACATTGTGCAGGTATTTAAACTTATTTGTTGGAGTGTTAAGGTGTACTGTATATCTTTTTGTTTGGTAAACGATGGATTGGTGCCCAAGTTACCATAAAAATGTTTAGTTGAATCTTGTATGCTAAGGTTTGGTATAATTCTTAAAAATTCTCAACTCTCATTGATATCTAATCTGTAATCAAAGATATGGACATTTTTTTTTTACTTTTGTTTGTTGGCAGGATGCTATTTCATTCTTATTTTGACAGGTATACAAAAATAATAGATCAAAATATGAATGTTAGGTACATATTAGGAAAATTAAAGGGATTAGGACTGGATTTTCAGTGATTTATTTAGTTAATGGTATCTACATTGTTATACTGCTAAAAGTTAAACATAATTACAATATCATTAATATTCTGTGAGATAAGGCATGAAAATTGAAATCCATTGAATAAACAGTTTCTATAAATCTAACGTTGAAGGTCAAGAAACCTGCGTTTAAGGTTTTAAAACTATTATTAATATTTTGTGATCTTAATAAAAAACAATATATATTTTATTTTTCATTTTATTGAGACAGTTATTGTATAGGGCTTTTCTATTATAGTTTTTGGAAGTTGACTGAGGATAGGACATACCAAGCTTACGCACCTTCACTTAATTTCTAAAGAAAATCCACCCATTTGTCGAAGGTGTGGAAAGAGAATGAGTGTGGTCCATATCTTTGAGAGTAGTGCCTTTTACACCATAAAGTTAAACAAAAAGGGAATACCAGCAAATACATCAACTGCTTTGGAAAATGATGAAAACATTTTGAGTTAAGTCATTTGTTTTCTCTCTCAAGAAGGAATCTTTAACGAATCTCTGAACCTTATTCTCTCTTGCAGTTAATTTTTTTTCTGCTTATTATTATAAAATATATAGAACTTATTTTATTTTTATTATTCACAACCACCAGATATAATTCTATATAAACCTAATTAACCTTCATTTTAATTTTATTTTATTTCTATTATTCACAACCACCAGATATAATTCTATATAAACCTAATTAACCTTCATTTTAATTTAATTTAATTTCTATTATTCACAACCAGCAGATATACTTATATAAAAACTTAATTAATGGTGTTGATAAACAATAGGTTTTACACGTTGACTTCACAACAACCAACCAACTATAGTTGTTTGATGGTGTCATCAATATCAATATCAATCATAACAATTTCCCCTATAAAATCTTAAATTCTATCAATCTATAAAATATAAAATCTATCAATAACATCAATTTCGGTTATTCAGATTAAAATTCAACTTTTATTCGTATAAATTGCAAAGAACACTTTTGGGTCCATGTTTATAGGACATATTTTAGTACCGAGTTTCCTAAAAATTGTTGAATAAAGAGATTACCACTGGTTAATAAATCAATCATTTTCAGGGCAGGAATCGTGAACATAACAACAGTGTTGGAGCTCTCTTTGTATTTGCGGGAGGAAAAGGAACATGTTCCTTGGGCCACTGCATTGGATCATCTTCAAACTTGGGCTAGATTTCTGTCTGAGGCGGCTCCATACAGGCTATTTTTGGAATTTATAAGCCACATACTGGAACCAGTGGCTACTTCCTTAGGTTGGGAAGATACTGGAACTCATATGGAAAAGTAATTTTGTTATGCTTAAATATATTATTAAATTCTTTATAATTTTAAAAATTAATATTTTTATTGACTTAATTTAATATATATTTTTATGTAGTTAAAATCATATTTTTTAATTTTTAAATTAGGCTTATGAGGTCCAATATATTTGCATCTGCGGTACTTTCTGGTGTGCAAAGCACTGTAACCGAAGCTACTGAAAAATTTAGAGAGTGGATGGAAAAAGGGACAAAAATACCACCTAACCTAAGAGAAGCTGTTTATTCTGCAGGTAAATGAATAACTGGTGTATTTAAAAACTTCTATTAAAGTGCTTATATACATTATTTTGAATATTACTGTTAATGAAGTTCATTTCAATAATAATTTATTTTTTACATCTTTTTTTATGACTTCATAAATAGTCTGTATCTTCTTTCAAAAATCTCTAGTGTATAAAGTTATTTAATATTATTTAGTTATTGGGTTATAAATTAATTTTAACTTTCCTAATAATTTTGCCATATTAATGGAATTATTTTTCCAAACACCTCTGAATTCACTGGTCCTTTATAATTAAAAACATATCTGAAACTATTAATACAATGCCTGATTCATCAATTTTGTTTAAATTTTCTTATATTTGTTGTTTTGTATTAAGTGACAAAAATATACTAAAAAAATCAAAAACAATAGTGCCAATAATACTAGGGTAATTCTCTTAAGATAATACTTTCATCTTGGAAGTCCTGTTGCATTCCTTTCTGAATTATGATGTAATTTCACATCTGCGATGAAGGACTGCTTCGATGACCAATGGGTTAAATAGTTATTTTTCAATGTTGGTTATTTCCTGTTACCAAATGCAGGGATGCCCATCCCCCCTCGGTTACCAACTCTCCTGGTTAAAACTTTTTATTCAGGAAATCTAACATCATCAAAATGTGCCACCCTTAAAAATTCAAAACCTCGTCAAAATGTGCTCCACTCAAAAATTTTAATGGCACAACTTGTGGCATGAAACCTCCTTCTGGGCACCCCTGCCAAAGTGTAATATTCTTCTGCATGATCAAGAAATCATGAAAAAACTATTAGTATGAGTTGAGTTTTTTTGTTAATTTATTGTTGTTTTTTTTTTTAATATTTTTTATTATATTTATTTTTAATGACTTGACTACATTGCTTACCATTCATTGGATGAAAACCATATAACTTTTATATTTTATATTATTTTGGGCATAATTTAGACTTAAGTTAATATAAACATATGATTACAGGTATAAAATATGGCGGCGTGAAAGAATGGCAATTCTGTTGGAATAAATACAATACCTCTAGGATTCCAAGTGAGAAAAAGTTACTTTTAAGGATATTAGGTGTTTCATCAGATCCATGGATATTACAAAGGTGAATGATTGATTACAACTTTATTACTAAATATATTTTTCACAAATTAAGATTTTATTAAACTAGACCTGATGGTGTACATTCTTTGTGCCTAACCAATTCACCAAATTATTAATTATCAACAATATTCTACACTTAATTAAAATTAAAATTTATTAATGAATAATAACTGGGATTCAGATTGTAAAGTAAAAACTAAATATGTAGTTATTCATAATTATATTTACATTTAATTAAAATTACACCTAAATTAGATATAAATTGTTGTTTTTTTGATAAACTAATGTGAATGTAGACAAAATAATTAATGAAATATTAATACCGAGATCTTTCAATTATTTATTGGGGGAGAGGGAAGAGGAGGGAGAAGAGGAGAAAAGAAAAACCCTAAGAATTCTGAACAATTTCTATAGTTGTGAAATAATGGGTTTTTATTTCAAATAAACTCAGTTATTTTTGTTTGTTTTGATTTTTGGAGGTGCCTACTTCTTCACTGTTTTTTTCCCCAAGAAGTCTAAATAAAAAGTCTAAACTTTGTTGAATGATTTGTTGAAATATTGATAGTGCGTTATGAATTTGTAACCAGAGATGCTGATTGTCTTGAAGCATTGAAGAAATCACTGATGATGTCGTTAATATATAAATATATGAATCCTGGCTAGACATGCAAGGCGGATTCTTAAAGATGAGTAAAGCCTGTATGCTTAAGCAGACAGTATAGAAGCATTTATCATGGGGCAAACGCTGCCAAATGAGTGAGATTAGTCTTCTGTTCTGCAGCCTTTCTGTTTCTCTGTATTTTCTACCACCCCAATCTATTTTATCTTGTTTTACTATCTCTATATTTTAGCTAATTTTACATCTAATTATTACTTGAAAAAAAGATGCCCCTAAAAAAAAAATATCATTGAAATATATGTAAAGACATTTTTTGAAAAAAATTAATTAATAATTTTAGAGAATAACAAATGATTTTTTACAGATATCTTTTAGCAACTTTAGATCGAGATAGGATCAGGCCACAAGATATTAAGATTGTCATGGCATCAGTTTCTTCCAATCCAGAAGGGCAACTCTTAGCTTGGAGACATTTAAAAGCCCATTGGAAAGATCTTCAGACCCTTTTTGGAAATGGCACATTCACAATGGGAAGCCTCATTTCGTCAGTTACTTCTCATTTCTCAACACAATATGACTACGATGAGGTAAATTTCCAAGTACATGTTTATATTCATTACCTTTTATATCACATGTTACAACTTACTCTACTTTATCTCCATCTTTAATATTTCAGTTTAATCTATTTCCTCTTTGTCATCAATGGAATTATTTTAAGAAAAATCATTAATTCAGTGGTACATTTATTTTACTGCTGACCACAGATAAAGCAAAAAATGCCACCCTCACCCTCTCCCACCACTCCTATATCCTTTTGTTTTGGTCCCTCAAACAAAAAAAGGAGTCACTGATTTTATATAAAGTATATCATATAAAGTATTAAAGAAGTGATTACTATGCAAAATTATGGGCTTAAACTTATTAAATATGGTACATTAATGATTGATATATTAAATATATTATAAAGTTGTATTACAGAAGTTCCTGGTACGTTTTAGCTTTTCAAAATTTGTATGTGTGATCTTCGTTACAATTTATTACACAATTGCAGTACTATTATTTATAACGTGACTAGAACTTTTTATGAATTCAATTCAAACATTTTAAACAGCCTTCCCTCCATCAACCCAATTCATATTTCAGAAAAAAATCATAAATTAAAAGTGTGAATTTTATTAATTGTTAACTCTGATAATCAAACCAATATACTTTTGTTATTAAACATTGGCTCTCAATGGTCAATTCTTACACACTAGTTTAATCATTGTTTATTTTGACTATTTCTTATTTGCCTGACAAAACCGATTTATAAACACACATTTTATGTTGTTATGAAAAACTAGACTTAATATCAATATTTTGACTTTTGTCCCACTCGGTTGCCTAGGACAACCCACTGTCCAAACTGCAAGAAATTTTCCTCATTTACTAAATGAGAAAACACATCATTTATGAGTATACAGATTCCTGCAGTTCTCACAAGTGGCATAGGTCCTAACCATCTGTCCTACATTTTCGTTACACAACATTTAACAAAAATAGAATTGACATCAGTGCCACATACTTCAGGCAAACTTCAGACTGCGAAACTTGGCCCAAACTCATCCATGTCCAGTCAGGAATTATAAAACCAAATAGTATGGGAAGACCCACTTTGCCTGAAACTCCAATTATGTAGTGGAAAGATACATCCTCATTATATTCCCTTTTGGGAGGTATTTACCCATCATCTTCAAGTTAGGGACCCAGATTAGTGCAGATTGTCAAGAATTGCCAGTATTTGGTTTGTGGTGCGAGTAATTACAGTATTTCATTCTATTTGAACACAAGTAGTAGACAAGTTAAAGGGAAGAGAAAATTATTCTACTTAGAAGTTTCATCTGAAGGCTTTAATTTAATTAGAAGGTCAATGGGATGTCATGGATAGAAAATTGAATGAAAAAGAAGCTGCAGACAAAGATAGGAAGGCTTTGTCCAAAATTTCACTGTTAATTGAGAAGAACATTATCCACCATATTGAAAAATGATCAACTGCCAAGCTAGCATAGGAGGGCATGCAGTCATTGTTTGATGATAACCATGCCACTACATCCCAACATGGAATAGAGATGGCCATCGATAGTCAAGATTATCGAAATTTTCCTTCTGATATTTGATATTTTACCATTGACAGTACTTCCTTCGATATTATTGACTATCAATATCAGGATAAAACTTCTTCAGGAATGTTAGAAATAATATTCAAATTCTGTTCTTCCATTTCTTGGTGGTTTTTATATTAGCTATTATGATAAGCTATTTAGGCCTTGTTCTTACATATCGTTTTAATGATAAAGAAGTTTTATTTCAGTTAAAATGTTTGTTTGATTTATAGGAACTATTTCCATGTTCAGAATTTATTTTTTAATGAATATTTAAAGTTTCTAAATAAAATAATTAATGTTCCTTTTTATATATTTTTTGTATGATTAATTAATAAGTTAATTTTCTGTGTTTGCAGGTTTTCGATTTTTTCCATCATATTGATGTGGGTTCAGGTTCTAGGTCTCTGGACCAAAGTTTAGAAACAATATTACTCAATATTCACTGGGTTCAAAAAAATGAAGAACCTCTTTACAGCTGGTTAAGTAAATATTTCAATAGTTAGTCAAAAGAAATGTATAGTTTAGTGGTACATTGACATAAATGGATGTTATTTTTGTAATAAGAAATTAATATAAACGTAACATTTTTAAGTTAAATGCTAGGGGCTCGTGCTCATCTGTTTTACTTTTATTAACAATAATTAGATTAATATATATGTAATCATATTTTTTGTTGATTAAAATTTAGATTTTATCTACCTTACTCATTGTCAAGTGATTATGTATAAATTTTGAAATTCTTTTCATTATATCATGTTGTGATAAAATGAAAAAGTTTGATTTCTCAAATTTAATTAATGATCATTACATGAATTTATTTAATAAATTAGTCAATTCATTTATAGTTTCTTCAAAGAGGTAAATCAAACAGTACTATATTTATATTCTGTAACATTAGACATACAATGGTGCAATTAGATTTAACATTGGTGCAGAAAAGAAACTTTCTAGTCTGCCAGGTTCCTTAAGTTAAGGTGAGTCATGATTTGTCCCGAATTTGAAGGTTATTATCATATCATTTAATATTTAAGTCAATATCAGCTATACTTTCTTTAATATAATAAACTTATTTGTTGTTTTTAGAGTAATTTATAATAAGTAGTCAATGATTTATTTATCAGACATTCAATTTATCAGAGGCCTCTTTAACGTATTCTCTTAAATTATAAAAATATAAATATATTTTTTTAAATATTGATATTTTCTAGAATTTAGAAAAATAAAACAAAAACAGATTGATAGATTTCTAAAGTAAAATAAAATAAGAAAATACTTGCTTATTTTTAAAAATACATTGTTTTTATTTAATTTGTCTGCTGTACAATGTTTAAGTGAAAATTTCTTTATCTGAAATACCATTATGAAAGAACCAAAGATTTCTTATGTAGTTTCAGAACAAACTGTATATCAGATATTGAAAATTACTAACAAGTTGTCTCAAATTATTTTTAATGTGATATTTTTAGGTCATACTAGTATATTTGAAATGATATTTTGTAATATTATTGTTGGGTAACTTTATTGAAACAAGGGAGGATAGATAGATGAGCATGGGTGCCCTGGAAGAAAATAATTAATGAGTAAAAATCCCACATTAACTTTGGCATGGAAAAATGCAGGGCCAATAAAGAAACCAGAATGATTTTTATGATATACATTCAGACTTACTTTTCTAATCTTCCTTACAATTTATGATGCATTCTTCCTTTTTTTGTAGAGATCATTATATAAGTTGAATAAAATAAAATTACCAAGCTCATATATTTTGTTAGGTTGATATATAGTTTTTTCCTTAAAATACAATAATTTTAATTTTATTGGCTCATTATCAACAGCTATTTTATATATTTAAAATGATTAGAGATAAATGTGGAAAATATTTTTGTCCAAAAACTCTGGACATGAAATTTTTACTTTTTTAACAATTTTTTTGAAAATGCAGTACCATATAATAAAATTTTTTTGTGATTGCATATTTCGTTTTTCTCTTTTAAAAATAATATTAAAGTTTACAAATTTAGCCTAAGAACTTTGATAAGTGGCTTTACATAATGAAAAAATATTTCATCTTTTGCTGGGTCAGAAAAAATATTTATTTATATTAACATAAAATAAATTCATAGATTCACAAATAGTGAATATCTGCATTTTAAATGATAGTTTCATTTAGTCATATATTCATTAAAGAATCGAATGTAATACTCACATATTATTTGTTGAAAAATGGAAAAAAAAATTCTTAACGAATATGACCAATGAAGAAAAATTATGATGAAGTTGCAAATATAAATTAATTCATAAAGTTGACAAAATCAAAAGCTTCATACATTAACATACTTTCCACCAATCAGTTTTTTGTTTTGATCATACCAATTGGAATAAACTCTAAAATCTTAAATAATATTTGTCTGTCTCTCTGAAATTATGTTTTTTTTTTTTCGAACATGATTAGGTCATAAAACTTAATTTAAATATTTGTTTCCAAATTCAGTTATTTTATTAATTTTTAGCTGTGTATAAGTAATGAGTATATTTTTTACAGCCTGTTGTTAAATCCAGTTTTTTTTTTAATTCATTTAGATTTGATTTATTGAGTATTACAACTCTTGGAAGTCTCTTGGAAATTGGTTATAGTGAGGTAGGATAACATTCACAGCTAAAATTATTAAAGTTGACATGTAAAGGATACTAGAAAATCTTGATATAATTATGATTGGTTGATTCTGAAACAGCTCCAGATGGCTTCTCTTAGTCAACTGATTTTTTTTTAGCATAAAAGTTCAAATTTTATGACGGTAGTTTAAGCGATAAAGAGCTTTCTATAGAAAGCTCTTTATCTAGGCATTAGTCTATTACACTATTTTTTAATCTTTCACCCAACAACCTATTTTTCTATTTCAATTTATAGAACTTCTTAGATATTTATTTTCTTTCCTTTTCAATGAGGTTATAATGATTCTTTTTGAAATTTTATTTGTGAGATAAAATAATTATTATTGAATTTTACTAAGGTAGGTACAAATTTCTATTACTAATATCTATTAATTTATTAATAGCATACATATGTGGCTTGGCAATTGGGAAAACAGAGATTTGGGACTAATTTAATTCCCAACATATTTAATCACTAACTGAAAAAAAACATGAAATATTTACTGAGTGAAAGTTTTGGACAATAATCATTTTATTAACATTGACTTGGCTAAATAGTTCTATTGTCTTGTAAATAAAAAATATATGAAATATGTAAATTAATTTTTTGGTTTTATACATTACTCAAGTATTTTGAATCCAAGTTGATAATGATCCAATAATGTGAAAATAGTTATTAATTAATCAATAATGAATGAAATCTTTAATATTGTAAGTTCAAATCGTCATTATTTTGCTAACTCCTTTATTTCAAGTAGTAATTTTAGTTTTCACAATGTCATGTTTGATTGAAAATGCGAAGTTCTTGAAGACATATAGGGCTCTGAATCTTAAATTATAAATTTGGGACCAGTAACCAAATAAAACAGTATACACAAAGTTAATTAAAAAAAACTTATAATTTTCTCTTGTTCTTAAAATTCTAATTTTCGATTGTTTAGATGGTAAAGTGCGCTATCGTTCATCACTGTCTGTCGTGTCGAGTTGTATGAAACAGAGGAGTTCTTCCCTTCAAGGATTCAGATCTTGACCTCATTTTGAAGTTTAATACCTGATACTTCCTTCTTGAAATAGGACATCTGGGATTAATTTATCAGTTTTAACAAGCTAGTATAGTCCTGGGTGGTTCTATTGATTAGATGACTTTAACAGTAGTCTGTTTGGTCAGAAATGCACAAATTTATTACCATTTTCTGAAAAATGGACTTTGAAAAAAAAAAATGCTGAAGCTCCTGCCATACAGGATTTGATAAAGTATATATATCATACATTAGAAATGCAATGGAATATGTTTACATTTTTACCATGAGTGTGAAGACAAAAAAAATACAAAATAAATAAAAAACATATTTAGAAAAATTAAATTGAGATTGATTACTTATTATTTAATTTTTATAAGCACAATCTTTGACAACTTTGTGAAAAAATATGTCTTTTTTCGATGTGTTTAATCCAAATTTGGTAAACGGATATTATTTTATTTATAAATTAATCTAGGTACTTATTTTTTACTTATTAATTGACCTAAAAAAACTTAATAATTTTAAAAAATCCATTTATCATCATTTTTCTTATTGTGGATATAGAAGCATAAAACTATTGTTCTCTCTCAAAAAATTAAGGTTAACTTATTGGAACTTTACTCTTCTTACGTTACTTGTTGAATCATTAAATTTTGTTTCTTCTGTAATTAAATAATTTTTCATTTTAAAGATTCATTATTGCTCGACTATGACAGACAGTTTATTATTTTCTTTATGTTTATGTTGTAGTATTGTATTAAATAACTTATAAGTAATGTCATTTTCACTCAAATATGTTGAAATTTATTTGGAAATAAAATCTTTTCCTAATTAACAAAAAATATTGATTAATATTAAGATGTATTTATGCTACATAAAAAAATTAATAACTTTGTGCCATATAACTGCTATTCAACATTTTAGAAATTTAAAAGGAAAAAAAAAAACAACATAAAAACTACAGTTACTCATGTTTCCTCAGAAGATTTTCATGTTATATAGAAAATTACAGCTTTCCCATCCTACATTGGTAAAAATAAAATAAAATATGTAAGTTTTAGTTAGTTATATATAACTTTTCACTAAAATGGTTAAAAATGTTTCACAACATATACAAAGACACCGAATTACTCAGGAGTAAAACCTGAATATTTGATCAAGAATTTTTATTTATTTATTTTATACTCATATAAAAATATGAGTTTGTGAAGTAAAATTGAGCTATTTGATAGGAAGGAGGCAAGCGAGCTCATGAAGAAAATGAGTAAGTTAGTTGGGCAGTACTGAAAATCTTGATTAGCTATCAAAAGAAAAATGTAACTTTTTTTTCCCTTCCTGGCATAGCAGCCATAGGGGGTCTTAATTTTTGTAACTGCCATCAGTTGGTTGTACTTCCTTATGTACAAACATCCTTAAACATCTGTACTTTTTATTTTTTCCCATCTAATTCAAATTCCCTTTTTGTGGCCCCACAATTTTTTTTATTTGCACAAATCATAGAAACAGCAACAATAAGCTTGGTTAATGAATACTGCAGGTGTTAAATAAAGTGGTAAACGTTGATAGATTATACTATTAACTTATTTTAACTAATCACGGAATACATTTTTGATAGAGCAGATCCTTTAAAAAGGTTTTTTGGTGAATTTCAAACTTATTTCTTGATAAACAACACAATAAATGCACCAAAATGACACAAGCCCTGTTTTATATCAAATATCGGTATGACAAGTCTACGATATTCAGATTACACCAAGGTAAAATTCAACAAAGTTTTTAGTGATTTAAGGTTATGAAATATCCAGATATCCTGTGATTATTTGCAATAAATCCACAATATAACACCAAGCTGGAGTAAAAAAATATATATAAGTGAAAAAATAGAATACCATATTATGTGGCAGAAAGTTATGGATATTTTGTTGATTACATAAGTTATATTGAAAAATTAAATAGTATAAACAAGTCTAAGAGAAATTTCAGCAAAGCAAGTCTTGAAATGCTATTGTTTGAATTGATATTTTTTTAATAATTACCATATAATATCAACTATATGTTTTAAATTTAAGAAGTCGAACACCAGTCATAACATAATGATAAATTTCTATTGGCAGGATATTCTAGACACATATTAAAAACAGTTGATACTTTTATTATGGTCTCATAATAGCTAAAATGAATCTTAATCAATTAGAATTGATTTCGTTGAAATTAATTTATTTTTTTAATATTGATGATATGAAAAAAACTATAAAAAATAACACTGTATTCTTATTACTGTAAACTTTAATAATTTGGTTTACATTTGCTTATTAATTTATTCTTCTTCTTATTTTAATTCTTTATTATTTTGGTAAATTAAAATAATTAATCACTTATATAAAATTGTAGTATCATTACAAAAAGACAGGAAAAAAAGTATATATAAAATTAAATTTTAAAGTTACATTAGTGATGAAAATGAATTTTAACAATAATATTAATTTTAAGAATGATCAGACACACAACAATTTTGTATTGGAGAATTAGTTATGAATCACTAGACTGAACTCCAATTTTTTTTATGGATTTTTTTTTTGGTGATTACTGTGCAAAATAATCACTATTTCATTCATTTTTGAGAGTGCAGTTGAGATAAGAATTGATAATATTTCTTGAGTAGATTTTTTTCTTTTACGGGGCTTTCCTTTAGACCATTTAGCTTGGTCTACTGATATATAACATGGAATCTTTACCAATAGATAGTTATATAATGTATCTTCATAACAAAAACACAATTTTTCCTTTTTAATATGTTAAATTAATCATAAAGTACTGCTGTTACATAATTTTTGCTGCAACCAATAAAATAATTAGTTTATTTTTTTACCGATAGACACACTGTAAGATGAAGTGTATTTTGTAAAGGCTTTTATCTTTGAAAATATTAGCCCCAAAAGTGCCAAAGATAATTTAGAATAATTAGATGGCTAATTAGAAACCAAAGGGCACAACATATAGATTGCTAGATTTTATACCTTCTTGTCTTCATGAATCAACTTATTTATGTACTCAAAATAATTATTGAAATATGAAGAAATTGTGGATATATTACATTAAATGTCACTGTTTGTGTAAAAATCAAAATATTAAGAGCTTATCAGTTATTATTATTATCGTTTTTTGTTTGGTGAGTAATGCATGTCTTTAACTTAACCCTTTATTGAGCAAAATAAAAACTATTAACAGGTTGGTACACAATGTGTCCAAAAGATCAGATGATTTTCATTTTAATAAAGATCGGACTTAATATCATCATCTTATCTTAGCATCTTAGATTTGTTAAGATATAGAAATAAAGATAGAAAATTTTTATTATCACAATATTTTACCTTACTATGTATTTCATATATAGATAAGTGAAAGTAATAATTTCAAAGTGAGCCAAAATTGTTATTCCTTAATTCATTTACTTAGAATTATTTTGAATTCTGAATTATAAAAGTTTACAAACTACCTTTTCTTTTTCTAAATATAAAGCCAACACCAATGTGATGAAAAATAATATTGAAAAAATGTAAAAAGATCAAGGAAATGAAAAACAAAATTAATTGTGGGACTGACGTATATTTCCGTAGATAATTTGTAATTCTCGTTCCCCAATTAATTTCCTGAGTCATCAAAAAAATTAAAAATAACATTATTCTTATTTGAAAAAATTTAAAATAAATAAATGCAAATGAAAAATACATTCATACTTATACAATACATACTAAATCACAAGATTGAGTGACATTAAGAAAATGAAATTATCAATACCCAGACAGATCATGGAAAAATAGAAAGTTCTTGGAAAGTAAAAGCAATTATTTTAAAAACAGGCATAACTTACAAAAATGAGATGTCCTGATCTCGTAGATACATTGTGCTAAGCTCAGGTTTAACAAAAACAAAAGGATACATTAAACTTTTACCATCAGCAGAACTAATCATCCAATTACAATATCTCTAGTAATTGGTTTTATGAAAACAAATTATATTTAAAATTCATATTATGAAGTGGAAATAAGTATTATAGAACTTTTAGCAAAACAATTTAATTTGATTAAGCCATAAAACATTGATCCATTTTTTTAATGATTATTGTATATATAATAGAAAAATGACTAACAATCCTCAACCATATCAATGTATACTTTAAAAACTTTGAAAATGTATCTACATAATATCTCTGAATTTCATTTAAATTTATAAATAAAATGGAAATTATAGAAAATCTTAGTGAAAAGTAGGAAAAAAAGTTTTGTCAAAATTAGTGAGAATGTGATATAACACTGAACGGTTTTCAAAATTAAACTTAATTTTTGTTCTTTGCAGCTGAATTTCAGTAATATTAGTTTAAATTTTACCTTCTAAATTGAAATTATGTTTATTTTAAATATAGGTTTCTTTAAAATGGATTGAAACTTAGCATGTATACCTTAATATTATTTTTTTCATTTTCTCATTATAGTTTTTTAAACCTTATTTATAGAAAAATGTAATTAAACCCGATTAGAGAATCTGATGGATCTTGGACTGATTTGGTTTATTTAATAAAATAGACTGAAGGATATTATTTTTCTAGGCATCAATTTAACAATTTAAATGTTTTATCATTTAATTAATAAGCAGTAACTAGTTGGTTTATTTAATATTTGGTTTGATTTAAAATATGTGATTTTATGAAAATATATTTATGTGTACTATACATAAGATTAGTAGATATTATTTTACAATGTTCAATTTAAGTCTTTAATGCATAGTTTTTGTTTTAATAATTTAATTTAATTTATTGTATAGAATATTATGTTAAACAAAATATTTTTTACAAGTTTCTTTTGAAATAAAATTAAAGAAGTGTAAACTTGAGAATTGGTGGTTTTGTGCTTTTAATAAAGAAGTTGTAGTAAGTAAAGGTTCAAATTTGGTTTAATTAGAAAATACTTTTAAGTAATTTTAATAATAAACAAAATGTAAAAAACAAACAAAAAACAGACAATTATTATATGCCTTGTCTTATTTCTTCAAAACTTATTCTCAAGCTGTTATTACACAATTATTAAAATTCTTCAGTACAAATATTTTCTTATCTACTAAATATATGTGTAATTAAAGGACAATATGTCTAACTAATTATAGGTGGCTGTTGTAAAGTTTATCTTCTGTGTTTAAGTTATTCCGACAGTCTTCAATATCAGTATTTAAATTGTAAATTTTTAATTGAAATTTCTGTTTGAGAGTTTTGTGATTAGAACATGTTTTTCTTTCCCAAATAAATGTTTCTGACTATGCAAATTATGTGCAATAAATATTTTTTTGATTATTCTCTTTATTCATTTTATTTGACTAACTGTGCAAAATTATAAAACTGGATGAATTTAATTGTATATGAGGTACTTTATAATGATCAACAGACGGGGATAGTGGTCAAAATATAATACACACATATGTGTGTATGTATATATATGTATATATGTATATATATATATATATGTATATATATATATATATATATATATATATATATATATATATATATATATATATATATATATATATATATATATATATATATATAATTTTCAAAGAATGAACCTACATACATTTAGTCTTCATCAAGATAAGCAAGAGAATTAAAATAATAGGACTGGGCATACCTCAAAGTCCAGAAAACTAGATTCATAATATCAAAGGATCGATCTGTATATGAGTTCTTGTTCTATTTTTCATTATTATTTGTTATAATGACCAACTATTTGCTATTCTGATTCAATGAAAATTTTTAGTAATTTATAAATAAAAACAATCAATCTCATGAAGAAGTGGGGTCATGATCATGTTCCCCTTCCTGGACTTATTCTTCGTAACATTAAATTTAAAAATATTGTATTTTAATATAATTCCTTGAATTGCTGAATCAAATATATAATCACTCAGCTTGTTTTCTTCAATTACACAGTGAAAACATAATCATTGTGTACTTGTGCAGTCAGGGAAAATGGACTACATATCCAACAGTCATGTTTAAATATGTCTAGGTGTCAATTAGCTATAGGCCTAATGGAAATTTATTTTAAATAAATATTGGTATAGAAATTGCAATTATTTAAACTGCCGAGTGTACATGTTTTAGAGTTTGAATCTTTTACTGGTTTATTAAGAATTTACAGTCAATAAGTACTTGCCAGAGGAACAGGCTTTGACTGAAAGGAAATTGATTAGTAAAATAAGAATATTCATGGGAGTATGATTAAATTTATAGTTTTGGTTAAGAAACAATCTGGTGTTGGAATTATTCACATTATTGATGTTTGGTTTATATTGTAATGTATTACACTGGATTTATGGAGTAATATAATGTGAAGTCTACTGGTGCACTTCCATTTGTTGTAGACAGAGTCAGTTGTTATTTTTATTCAGTTGTTGCAACTCACCTGGTTTTGTCAATCTTCAGCTATCAAAACAAAAGATTTTGAGGTACGTAAGAAAACTAAATAAAAAAGTACTTATTCACCTATGACCAACAAACATTTTATTCTAACAAACATTTTATTATTTATTTATTTACATTCCAACCTACCTTGCCTAATGGGCTATTCGGGTGTTTGCAGTGCATAACTGCATAACAGCACACTACTGCAAGTGAAGCAGTTTAAAAGTTTTTATCTTCGATGACTTTTGATTAAGGATGTCCGTCTTCCGGCGGTCTTCTTGGTGGTGGTCCTCTTCTCCATGCTCCAATGTTGAAGTGGGCTGGACCCACTGTCTCCTTCCAGTCATAAATAAATTTCTTGAACCGAGGGAAGTTCTCCTTACTTACCAACTCAGGAAGTTCATCCACTGTTAGGACGTAAATTCCCGCAGTTCTTATCATTGTTGCCCTTATTCCTTCGAATGCAGTGGAGGTCGTGACCACGTGCTCGACAGTCTCCATAACTCTACTAGTGGGGCATTGGGGATCTATGTCCTGGCCAAAGCCAAGTATCTTAGCTCGAAAACCCCCATGCCCCGTGAGAAATTGTGAAACTTGATAGTCTGGGAGAACCCATTGTGCATCTAGCCATGATTGTACGGTGGGGAAAGTATTTCCTAAGAGTATTCTCTTTCGGGGTAGCAACCCACCGATGGCTTCATTCCTTATCCTGGATTATCTTCTTCCATTTGTTGGGACTTTCCACAATCCTCACCCGTAGATTATCTGGAACTCTATTCTAACAAACATAAATACTGAATAATAATTAAAAGTCCTATAACATCTAGTAGGATTGACCTTCCTTTTATTTCTTCACAAATGCTTCAAAAGTCCCCTCTTCTGTTCACGTTCTGGTTCAAATGTCTATTCTATAACTCACACCAGCTTCTCTCTCCAGTACTCACTCTGTTCCAAACTCCTTTGTTCCTCGTTCACCAATTGTTTATATATCCAAATTTTACACTTTCCACACAACAACTTGTTAATTTCACAATTAAGTCAAATTAATTTTGCACTCAATCCATCCCTTTTCAATTTGTAATCATTCCCTCTCTCGCTGTCACTTACGATAGAGCCTAAGAACCTCTCTGGGTGGGCATTTTTCTATGATCACCAGACTTTAATACTTATAAAGTAGTACATCCACTACATGCTTTTAGGACTAAAATTTTATTTATTTTTCTTGACATGGGCTTGCATTACAATTTAAAAAGGAGAACATAATATGATAGTTTAGGCATTTCGCTGGGATCACCCTTAGAAAAAAAAATCTATTTTGGAGGGCAGTGATTCAGTTTGAAAGTCTTCCACCCTTCCCCTTGAATCCACCAGTAGGTAAAGCATTGGAATAAAACCTTCTAGAAATTTATTCTCCATTCATGTTGTAGCTAATCGTCATACAAGGTTTCCATCAAATGAAAAAAACTTATAAAACAATTTAATTTTAAATGTGTCTATTTGTTGTGAGCTAAAAATTGTTCATACAGTGCATAAAGAAAATTTAATTAACATTGAAGTAATACAACCTGAAAAAAGGGGGAAGGAAGTCATGTATAAAAATATGTAATTATATTTGTTATTACCTTTTCTAGTTAATTATAATTTCATTGGCAGAAGGCAATAAGTTTCTTCAAATAAGAACAAATTTTAGAAAACTTGCAAGAGTTTACTTTACTTTCTTTTTTTATCCCTAGTACTACCTAGAACAATGATAAAATGAGGATGTATATAAGGATACTATTCCGATAACTGATTAAGGTATTTTAAAAGTATGGAAATGATAAGATTTATTGAATAATAATTGATTAAACAAATTTTAATTAAATTGCATAAATGAAAAAGTTATTAATAACAGGTTATTCAATTAATTTAATTATTAAAAGCAACAAACAATTATTTATAAATTTAAATCATTACAATAAATTTTTGAATTAATCTACTATACTATGAAAGTGTAAAGTACCAGTGATTCTTGAAAAACAGAATTAAGTCTGTATGATTTTGCATTTTGTTTAAATTAAGAGGGAAACGTCCTATATTCTACAACTTTTTATAATTCTTTTATCATATTAAAATATATGTATTTTTCACTGATAAATGATTGAACAGATACTTCAAAACAAACATTTTCTATTCAGATTTAGATACAAATTGAGACGTGATATTTTTATTAATAATAATGATAATATGAAGAGAAGAATAGTTGGGGTGGTCAGTCAAAAAAGAAGGCAAAAAATAAATGATAATATTTATTTTTACATATGCCGACGTTTCGACCTGAAGACGTTTCGGCCATCATCAGGGCTAAGAAAAGAACCTTTTATGAAAAGCAAAATTAATTATTTATAAAACAATCTTGTGACCAGTTGTCATTAATCCAAGTGAAATGTGGGACCTGATCCAAGCCTCCTCTGGATCTGAGAAGTACTGTAGAGCCACGGAAGTAAGTAAGTAAATAATTACAAATATTTAATACTAAAAAACATTTAAAGAAAACCAATTTGAAAAAAAGAGTTAATCAATTTATTTCTATCATAGAAAAGTTACAATTAAGAAATAACTTACACATACATAATATTTTATTATGAACCATTATACATACAATTTTTTATCAGTTACTAAGATATATCTTTTGAAAAAATAATTTTCTTACAATACTTTTTGGAAAAATAAATATATATATATATATATATATATATATATATGCTTCATTATCAAATAATCCTGAAGGAAGTGGATTTAATACTATATGAAATCAAAATTTCAATCTTTAAATTTTATACTTAGGTCCACATTTAAAAATGATTTAAATGAAATGAAGGGAGACCTTCAGCAAACAAATGATTTTATTGTTCCAAATAATCTAAATTGAAAATTAGATAAGAACTAAATACAATATACAATAAATACCTACTTGAATCTATATAGGCAAATATCTCATTGATTTATGTAACATAATAAAAGAAAGATAAAAAACTAAAATCTGTTAACAATTTTAATTTTAAAATAAAAATTTTAAGACTGATAGAAGAAACTCCTTTTGGTTACAGCTTTCATAGTAAACTCCTTTAGGCTGATAAATGATATTATGAAGGCTGAAGTATCAACTAGGATGTGACTGAAAAGGAGCCAGGTAGGAGATCTCCTTTCCTAAATTATAACTGGATTCAAGAGAGGAAGGAGATCCTGCTGGGTACTATCCTTCGACAGGCCATAACTACAATTTTCTCCATCGCATTTAGTGATTATGATTTGTAGGTGATATGTGCGAATACGAAGAGAAGTTAAAAAAATATATTTTGGGGAACATTATTTCAATGATTAATTTAAATCTCTGAATTTCGATCATAGCCAAGCCAATGGCTATATTTTTTTTTATACTGTAAAAAAAGTGACCACTTTAACTAAATCATTCGATCAGAAACAGCATGTATGTTCCTCTTGGGTATTTCAATTAGTAATAGTCACTGATTTTTTTACTTTTCTGTTCCCATTCTGTCAACTAGTTCTTTAATACTAGATTTATTTCCTGGCCGCAATTGAGATTCCCTATGATATTTCTATAAACCAGAAGAAAATATAGAAATTAAAATATAATTATTTAATTTATGTACAATTCCATATATAAATACTTTTCATCATCCAGGTTGTGTTTTTTTAGAGCAAATAAATATATCCTTATGCTCTTCATCTTTAGGCGTTTGGCATGCAATATTCACATTAAATTCAAAATAGAAGTAGATATAATAAACTGTAACACACAAGTAAGAATAAAATAAATTCTCGTGAATTAATAATTGAAAAATGTGCTTGGCTCATAATTTACAATGTATTTCTAACAAGTTTTAATAATTGAAAACAGTGTTTGATTCATATAATTTAATATGAATTTTAAACTTTTTTGTGAGGTTGTAGTCTTTTTTTCAGAAAGATAAAATCTGTGGCAGCCAACATTCATTCCAAGGTCAAAGTAGAAGTAGATATAATAAACTTTTAAACATAAATAAGAATGTTGTAAATCATTATGAATCAATAAGTCTTAACAGCTTTTGACTCATGTAAGTTACATTTAATGAATGAAAGGTTAAAATTTCCAAGTGGATAATACTTATAAAAAATTATGCATATTTATAAATTAATGAAAGAGCAAATCCTATACATTATAACTGTATTCAGCTATATGCTTTTCAGAATATAAAGTCATATATACATGTTATGACTTTTCAAGAGTTACAATGCCATGAATGATGATTATCAAAGATTGTCGCAAATGTAATCTTTGTTTTATTTAAAAAAAAAATAATTGAAAATTCAGTGTTCATTAAGTATGTGATAATGAAGAATAGATTTTTCTCATTATTTTTTATTTGTTATCTTCAATGTTTTGACATACTCAAAACTTCAACTTTAAATATAATATATATTTTATATAATAATATATATTTTTTATATTTATATAAATATACCAAATATATATTTCATTTATACAATATATTTACATTTTTCCTCCATATTAGCCTCTTTTAAACATAAAATATTGATTTTATACAATGTTATATTTTGAAAAGCTATTAGTGTCTTATTTAGGATCACAACATTGTCACATATTTCATCAAAAGAGAATACAAATATTTTCAATGAATTGATCCTACTGAAGGGGTATGGAACTTGAAACATTGAATAAGCTAATTAATATGATAAAACAAACATCATATTTGCTTGCCCAAATTTCCCGCCATACTATATCCATTCTGAAACAATTTAACCATCTACGTTATCTTCTTCCGTTCAAAACCCGTCAACTCCTGGCCTCCTCTATTGTTTTCCCCCACTTCGACTATGGCTGCATGGTGTATGGTGGACTCTCGGGAGAACTCGAAGCCAAACTTAAACGTTTAATGAATTGCTCAATCCGCTTTATCTTCGGGATCTCAAGGAATATGAATATTACCCAGTTCTACAACAAGTTGAAGTGGCTTTATCCGTCCTACCCCCGTCAATATTTCCTTGCTACCTTCCTAAACCAAGTCATTAGAACACGGCTACCTGCCTATATTCTACAGATCCTACAATTCAAACGCTCCTTTCAATCCTGTCCCACCAGATCCTGTGCGTCCAACCTCTATCCTCCTCACCGAACTGCTGCGTTTGATAAATCCTTTTTAATACAAGTTGTCTCTCTCTGGAACTCTATATCTTCAGATATTCGACAAGCAAAATCAATACCTCTTTAAAATCTCTGCTCTTCAAACACCTACTCCATTCCCAATCAAATTGATCATGAAATGTACTTAAAAACCTAAGCTGTGAAAACCTCAAAGTACACCCAGATACTCTGATTATTTTCTAATTCATTGATATTTCGTTTACTTAATTACTTTCTCTGTATATTTTATATTTCCACGTATTTATATCTTTTTATCATTTATAATTTTATTGTACTCCGAATCAACCTGTAAATATTAAATTGTATTTTATGGACACACCAAAATATTAATATATATTCTGTATTTGTAACTTTTTCTTAAGGGACACTAGTCCCAGAATAATAAAATTATTTTTATTTTAATTTCATTTCATATAGAATAAAATATTCAAAGAATGATCTACCATTCACTGTCACTTATTCTGGTAATATTTCTCATTAATATCCCAAAAAGGGAGGAGGGAGGTTAGAGTAATCAGACCTGACTGTACATTGAATGCCAAGCTAATCAAGAGTCTGTAAGAAAATTAGCACTGATTTAATTAGATCAGAACTGTCAGTGAGGACGGGGTGGCCGAATGGGATAACACTTGTGCACAGCACCACACTTACTCAGCAACCTGATATATGAGACAAAGTTATAAAAAATAGTCACGAGTTCGCGTCCCGGTGTCGGAGGAGTCTTTTAAAATCCCCGCCCACACCCCCTGGCCCGGGAAAACTCTGTATAGCCTTAAAGGTGAGGACACACAAAAAAGATGAGAATTGTTGAACTTCATTTTGTTCAAGAGATAAACTAACTACTGAAGTGTTCTTTAAAATTGAGTTTGGGCTTACCATTCGAATTACATTCAGGTCTGATTTATTTTTGAAGATCACCAGCTAGCTATTGGAGTAGCTTATATGGAGCAGTGCCCTTTATTCTAGAATAGTGCCAAGAGATAAAATAATATTACCTGATAAGCAGAAGACAAAAACTGTAAATATAACAGATAGTATAATTAAAAGTATTCTGTTAAATTTTTCACCACTCAAAATTGGATGTCTTGATGGACTTAAATATCTTCTTATCCTAGATCTGTGCTGTTGACAAACATTATATTTATTATTAAAATTATGAACCATAAAATACAAAAAAGTTCTGTTTATGTTTCATGTGATTCTTCTGTAGTTTTATAGTATATGTTAAATTTATTATATTTTTTATTAAGTAAATATAACAATTCTAATTTAAAGATTATGTGTTTTAATACATTACAAGAAGACCTATTATGTTTAAACTATGTTTAAAAAAAGTTCTTCTACCTCTCGATGGTGAGTTATTTCATTTTCATTTTCATCATTTTTATCTTCAGTTAGCATCTGAAGCAATTATTAAACTTCTACACTGAAGACATGTAAGGAAGCAGTCTGAAAAAATTAATAAGTTTGTTAGTTTAACAAAAAAATGTATTTTTAGATGACCAAACATTTATATTTATAAGTTTAAATTTTAGTTGTAAATAAACATTAGGTTGTTTTATGAAACTAATTACAATGCGACACTATAATGGTCATTAAAGAATAATGTGATATTAGAAAATATAATTATGTAGCTGTATGAAAATGCATCCCAGACAATTATCATTCCTCATAAATCGTTTTCTTTACCCAGGTGTTTCTCACTCTCTCTGACTTTTTTCTCTATTTATAGTAGTAATCTCCATGACTTCATTCATCACTCTCATTACCACTTCTATGTTGATGATTTCCAAATTTACCAATCATTCCAGGCATTATGAAATGCCTAAGGTGACTTGGAAAGTTATGAGTGGATATAGATTTGATCAGAACTTTTTCAGAAATAAATGAATTGAAGCTAAATGCAAAAAAAAAAAAAAAAAAAAAAAACCAAAGCTATCCTCATCAGCTCCAGGCACCTCATTAGTTTCATTTCTAACTCTCCTCTCTTTTACCTCAATAACCGCTCCATCCATTTTCTCATGAGTTAAAAACATAGCAATAATCCAGGAATCAGAACCTCTCCTGGAATAACCAAATTTCCCAGAACACTCATTAATCCATAATTGTTTTTAAACAAATCCTAAGATTCTATGATTCTATTTCCCATTAAAAAAAACCAGACAGTTCCTTGTTTTTACCTACTTTGACAATGGTTGCTTGGTGTATGGAGGGTTATCTACAAGGATGGAGATGAGATTAAATAGACTTATGAATTGTTTCATAAGGTTTATCTTTGAAATTCCCAGGTCTTCTCGTGTTTAGAACTGGTACACTGAGTTGAAGTGACTATTATATCTCCCCGAGGGTAATCCTTGTTTTCCTTTTCGATGTACTCAGAACCAAAAATCCTTCCTATATCCTAGAATTCCTTAATATACGTTCCTTTGTTCACTCATTAAATATTAGATCTTAATCTACTGATCTATATATCCCCTCCCATAAAACTACTTTGTTCAGCAAATCCTTCATCATACATACTACCTCCATATGTCAATCCTCATCCAAAGATTCCTTTAAACAACTCCTAGTTGTTAATTGACAAGTACTTTTTTGTATTTCTTCATACCAGACTGCGCATAATTTCTGAACTTTGTCATTATTCTTAGGAGACTTTAAGTTTCAGAATAAAATTATTATTTCATTTATGAAAATGTAAATATGGCGAATTTTTATCTATACCCAATTTATTTTTAGAAAAAGAACAAACTTGCTGTATAATAAATGAGAAATAAGCAATTAGTGGACAAATTTAAGTATATAACTGTAGAATGCTGATTAAGAATATGAAAATAGTTGACTTGAATTTAAGAAGTATTTATCTAATTTGAAATAAACAGGTAGGATATGATTCTTTGATGAAGGGATATTTGAATGTAATGGAATAAATTAAGGCAAGAAGAACAATTTAATGTCATTGGTTGATTCAAAACCATTACATCCATTTTGATGCTAAACTAGTTTAAAAAAACCATTTTCTTCCCATATCGTCTGTCAAAATTGAGTGTTTTACAGGAGACTATTAAAAAACGATTATTTATTTATGATTTATTATTATAATTTCATATTTTATTTTTGTATGCTATTTTCTGTAGTTTCAGACTACTTATAGCACCTGCAGACTACAAAATACCCTTAATATAAAATCACATTTAACACAAATAGAACAAAAATGGAAAATGTTTACATAAAACCTTTTGCACAAACAACATTGATATTGTAAGTTGTACTAGAGAAGTGGGTTAGAGAGAAATTTGTTTAAACAAGAGGAAAAAAAAAATGATTCTTGATTTCATCATGAAAGCATCTACTTTGTCTGGAGGTACTGAAAAATGCTAAAACCAAGAGATTAGATTTAACTAAGTTCAAAATCTAGAACAAATCAAATTAGCTATTAGGTTTGACCTTCTGTTATCTAATTCTTACTGTAACAGATTTACAACCTATCTTATCTTATCCAATTATAAAAAGATGGGTGAAAGGGAATCCTAGTGTTGAAGTGTGGAAGAGAGATGTGAATTTAAACACTGTTTTTAGTGTACATGGTCTCATTTCCTGGATAGAGATTAATTAGGATGCAATAGCTAACCCAGATTTCGGGAATGTTGGAGATCAAGAAACACAAAATTTTTATTTCTTCTAATAATTTTTATGAGGCTTCATTTTAAAACAGTAAGTTGAATTATTTTGTGATATACAGAAGAACACAAAATTTTAAATTCTCTTTTAAATAAGTAAACTAACGGAATCGTGAAAATAAGGGATTCGTATTGATTATCTTTATACAGTACTCACATTATCATATTAGAAGATGAAGTCATAAGAATCGTTGTCTACCATTTAATTAATTACGACTGATGTATCATTTTAATATACCTTCTTATAACTTCGTAAAAAAAAATAAACAAACTCTATTGAAGCCGTTTTAAAAAACAAAACAAAACGGGGGGAGGGAATTGTGGATTTTGTTGACAAACCTTAAAACTATCCTAACCATTTAATTTACAAAGCGTCAGCTGAAATTTACTAATTGATAACATTGAAGTTGAGTTGAACTGGCAAACAACTCTGAGCAGGTTGGAACATTGGGTAAATGAGTGGAGTAATTGGATATCAAATGAATTTAAAATTCTTAATCATGAGTCAAAAGACAATTTGAAATAGCGATTTATTATTGTGTATCGACATGAACATTGTTACCTAGTACCATTGGAACGGTGAAGCAAAAAAAGTAAATTCAAATTTTATTGATCCAGATGTTTTTTTAAAAAACATCTAATGATTTTGATGATGAGGTCTAATGATTTGGTTTTCATAGTTTTATAAAATAGTGAGAGAACCATTCTTTATGAAAATAGTTGTTACTTATCTTTTTAATAAGCAAGAAGCCCATAATTGATAAAACTGAGATGATTAAACTTGATGTTTAGAAACATTTCTATGTCTACCTCATGGTGCCATTCCCAGCGTCTAGAAGCCTCAATCAACGCTGCTATGCCTCTCGGATCTGACTAAGCCTCATTTCTTGAAGAGTTTTTTTCCATCATTTCTTATATCCGCTGGAGATACTCCTTGTAGGAAATTCTGGAACGGCCGATTTTCCGTTCTATGTCGTTTTTTAATTTTTCTTTTATAGTAAAAATCTCAGCTTCTTTCTCTTTCAAAGTCTTTAAGTTTAAAGTTTTTTTTTTTTTTTTATTTCTTTATGACATTCACAACTGTATTACATAAATACATCAAGTAAATTTGGACATAATTGATATAATGACATGAATACACTTGCTGAGTAATTACCCAATGGTAGCACTCTAATAGTTTAAAGTTTAAAATCGTAAATCCTTATGAGTGTCAGGTCCTTACTGTTAAGATCTGTCCCCATCCGAGGCTCGTATTTTTACTTTCGATAAAGTTTACTACCATGCAAGTTATAACACCAGCTATAGAGGTCCCGTATCCTCGGGACAACTGGTCTCTCACAACACTCAGTGGACAACTGGTCTCTCAGAACCCTCAGAAGAAAGGGTAACTGGGTTATACCCTCCAGCAGCGTGTCCTCAGCAGAACTTAGCCTTTATAGGACATGCAACGTTATCACACCCGGTATTAGGACCCTCTTGCTGAGAGCTATCCATGTAAGCTCAGAGGAAGTGACATTGAGCCGAGATGAGAGGGCTGGATTAATATCCCCAGAACAACCTGAGCAGTTTAGGAAAACTTTTCTTGGAACAAATTTCTCACTTCTGGGCAGGATTTTAAGTTTACTCACTCATAAGTCCAAGGATTTTTTGCCTCTTGATACCATCAAATTTCCCGTCGCACTATCTCCACCCTAAAACAGTTCAATCGTATACGATATCTCCTTCCATAAAAGTCCGGTCAACTCCTAGTTTCCTCCCTTGTTTTCCCCCACTTTGACTATGGCTGTATGGTGTACGATGGACTCTCGGGAGTTTCCGAGGCCAAATTTAAACGTCTAATGAATTGTGCACTACGATTTGTTTTCGGAATCTCAAGGGATACGCATATTACCCAGTATTACACTGAGTTGAGGTGGCTCTACCCATCCTATTGCCGTCAGTACTTCCTAGCCACCTTTCTGTACCAGATCATTAGAACTCATCGACCTTCCTAAATTTTTCACAGCTTACAATTCAAATACTCTATTCAATCCTGTCTCAATAGATCTCCTACTTCTGACCTCTAACCTCCTCCTCACCGAACTGCTGCGTTTGACAAATCCTTTGCAATACAAGCCGCCTCCCTCTGGAATTCCATCCCTGCTGATATTCGACACGCTCAATCAGTTCCCTCTTTCAAACCTCTCCTCTTTAAACACCTACTCCTTTCTCAATTCGACTAATTGCGAAATATACTTAAGAGAAATGTCTGAGCACCCCCAGAGACTACCTCAATTTATTTAGGTTATTTTACTTTCTTATATATATGTATAATTTCTTTGTTCTTTTCTTTCTCTTCTGCAGTATTTTTATTTTTAGTCGACTTTTATTGAAAATGTATAATCTAATTGTAACCACACAGGCATACAGTCTTTTACATACAGTCAGACATACAGTCAACAACCCAGGACTGCTTTACGAACTCCGTAAATTCCTACATCCTACATACTTCCTCATTATCCGTTCCTATCTAACTGATAGATCCTTCAAAGTAAATCATAATAATGCCTATTCATCCCTTTTTTCCCAGTCCGCTGGTGTTCCTCAAGGTAGTATCCTAGGTGCTATCCTTTACACAGTTTATACAGCTGATATCCCAACCCATCCTAACACTGTCATTACCACGTATGCCGATGATACATGTGTCCTATCAATTAACAACGACCCAACAATTGCATCCCAAACCCTTCAATCACACATCACAAACCTTGAAGAATGGTTTCAAAACTAGAGGATCAAAATAAATTCCAATAAATCCCATCAAATCACCTTTACCCTTCGTCGTAAACCTATGTCCTCTTGTCCTACAGTAACCTTTAATAATATCCCACTTATCCCTGTTGAACAAATTCGATACCTTGGACTCCACTTAGACAAACATCTAACTTGGAGTCCTCAAACCAGACTGAAACGACAAGAAACAGCTCGACGTTTCCGACTACTCCAGCACTTACTAGACAAACGCTCTAAGCTCCCAGTCAATTACAAAAGACTCATATACATGACTACAATAAGACCTATTTGGACTTACGGAATTGAGCTCTGGTTCTCCACTAAGCTATCGAATTCCTCTCGTATCCAATCCTTACAATCCAAAATCCTTCGTAAAATCCTCACAGCTCCTTACTTTGTCACAAACAAAATCATCCATAACGACCTTAATGTTCCTTATGTTTCTGACCTGGCCCAATCCAGATACCTTTCCATCCATAACAAACTTCATAACCACCCCAACCCTCTTGTTTCTAACCTTGCCTCCTATTCAATTCCTGATAACCCTCCGAGGCGTCTGAAAAGAAGATGGCCACGTGATCTCCTAATATAGACAACAAGGTTATACTTTGTGCTAAAGGGACAACAGTCCCGGAATAATAAAATATTTTTTCATTTCATTTCATTTCATCAGGACAATTTTCTTATATTATTATCAAAAAGATGAATTATTTTCTTTGTTAACTTTTACTCCTTTAAAATTCAATACCACCGCAGTAATGAAGTTCTTGGCTAACTGAGGTTTGGCTGACTAGTTTTCTCTCCATACAGGAAAGTTGGCTGAAAAGGCCCAGAGGGATTTTATTCAGTTATACTTCACATGACAATAGACTAGAACGATTCTTCTGAGATTATTCTACATGGGAAGTTGTCATTATCAAACATCTGGAAACCCCTAGTATTTGATTTAGTAGTTGCTTTATGTCTCGAAATGACATCTTTAGTTTATGCTGCGTTTCCAGTAGCTGCAGATTTTTCATAACTATATTTTAAACCATTTGCTGATTTTTTTTTGCACTCAAGGACGGATAGTGAAATAGGGTATGGTGACCTAATCAGAGATAACTTCTCGGACATTTCACTTTTTACTTTCACTTACCTATATATGGAATATATATTAAGAGAAAGTATTGCGATCGTGAAAATCTTCGAATCCAAGATTTAAACGGAAATACATGTTTTGAGATCACTTCTTCTTCTTCTTCTTTGTCTTACTCTTATGCCATTAATTAGCGTCGAGGAGCCTCAACCAGTGCAACCACTCTTCCCGGTCCGAGCTTAGTTGCTTCATCTCATTAAGGGTTTTTCCTCTTTTACATCCAATCCTTTGAATGTAATCCTGGAACGTGAGTCTGGGGCGTCCGCGTGGTCTCCTTCCTGTGGGTCGAGCCTCTAATATCCTTATAGGATTCAAATTCTCATTCATGCGGCAGACGTGTCCAAACCACTGGAGTTGCCGTCTTTCTAGAGTAGTTTTAAGTTCGGCAACTCCTAGCTGCTCTCTAATGCTTTCATTCCTAATGCGATCCCTTCTAGTTCTGCCAACAGATCTGCGAAGGAACCTCATTTCTGCTGCCGTTATGCGACTAGAGTGCCTGTCTAGCATTGTCCAGCTTTCTCCGCCGTAGGTGAGTGTAGGTAGGTAAACAGACTTATATACGTGCATTTTGGTCTTCTTGTCTACTTCGCGATGGCCGATAATGCTATTAGTAGTCTGGTAATATACCTGATTCGCCTTACATATTCTACTTGATATTTCGGCGTCCATCTTACCAGAACTACTAATTACGGTCCCCAGGTAGGTATATTCAGTCACCACCTCAAGTGTCTCGCCATTGCAGATCAGCTGGACATCTTCTCGCTCTTCCCTCGCCATAACCAGCACTTTACTTTTGGAGGTGTTAATTTGCATCCCTTTTCTGAGCGACTCTTCTTCCCACTCTACCAAAGCTTGTTGTAGTTTGGTCTTCGTGTCGGCTATTAGGACTATGTCATCCGCGTATAGAAGGCTTTGTATAAGGACAGTTCTCAAATTCCACTTCCCAATTGTTGTCCACGCAGTTCGGCGTTTACAGATTTTGTGGATTTCATCCATTACATTTATAAATAGAAGGGGACTTAAGCTATCTCTCTGTCTAACTCCTCTCGCAATTGGAAAAGGTTCCGATTCCATACCGTTCATCCTTACCACTGCCATGGCTCCTTGATAGGCTGACTGTATGGCCGCCAGCAAGTCTCCAGGTACACCTTTGGCTATTAGGGCATTCCAAATTTCTTTTCTTGGAACCACATCAAACGCTGACTTCAGATCAAGGAACGCAAGATACAGATTTTTATCTCTGTCCCAAGCTTTTTCAGCAATATTTCTGAGAACAAAGATGTAATCCTGCGTCTGTCGGCCTGGACGAAAACCAGCCTGTTCCGCTTCTAACTGCCTTTCCACAATCCGTCGGAGTCTCCTTTCTAGTATAGAAGTATAAAGTTTATAGACCACTGATAGCAGACTAATGGGTCTATAATTTTTGCAATCTGTCGTGCATCCTTTTTTATAAATCGGGAGGATTATGCAATATTCCCAATCCATGAGAATTTTCTTTCTGTCATATACTTCTTGGAACAGCGATTGTAGTGCCTTAAGAAGTTCTTGACCACTGAATTTTAAATATTCTGGTGCGATTCCATCCCTTCCTGATGCCTTACCTCTTTTTAGCTTATGGATTGCATTTTCTATTTCTTCCTATATAACCTCCAGGCTTTCTTAAATATTGGGCTCTTGT